TTCTCCTCCATTCTCTTCTTTGGATTTTGAGCTTGCATGCACATGCATCTAGCATGTTTTTCAGACCACAGGTCCAAAACTCAAGCTGCGGAGTCTGCCATATGGAATTCAGCACCTTAACCACCATGCCACCTGCTGACCCCCATATTTTGTCTCCATTCTTCAAGTATCTTTGCTGTATAGAGAATTTCAGTATTGTAATTTTCTTTCAATATATTTTATTTTTCTTCTTAATTTTCTACAGGGCATGTGTGCTCACCAGAGAACGAGAGAGAGAAAGCAAGAATACACTCTCCCAGGGGTGTGGCCATGCCACAATCCCTTCTACATTCTCTTCTCAGGATTTTGACATGTACCCATACACACACATGCACATGTGTGTGCGTGCCCAGTATGTTTTACTAGTCTCTGGGTCTGGGACTCAAACTGCACAGTTGGCCATGGGGGATCCAGGTGCCTTAACCACCATGTAACCAGCTGGCCCCCTTTTCAGTATATTTGAAATGTTACTCTACTGTTTCTGGCTTCCATTGTTTTTATTCAGAAATTAGCTGTTAGGCTAACTCAGGGATTTCCTGGACCAAATCTGGCCCATTACTTAAGTAATAAAGTTTAACTGAACACAGTGATAATTATTCATTTATATACTCTCTATAGCTGCTTTTATGCCACAATGACAGAGTTGAGTAGTTATGTCAGATACTGTACAGCCCGAAAAGCCTAAAATATTCACTGGACCCTTACAGAAGTTTGCTGACATCTGTTCTCACTGATGTTCCTTCAAGAGTAATCTTTCTTGGGAGACCAGCAGATGGCATAGTAATTAGGGCACTGAACTTCCACATGGCTGATCATAGTTTGAGTCCTGGACCTGGCAGCTTGCTTTCTCTGTCTCTCTCTGGTGTATGCATGTGCCCTATAGCATATTAAATAGTAATGATAATAAGTTAAAATTAAATAAAACATTCATTTTTAAGAGAGATTTTTGCTATAGGGTGCATGAGCTTGCTCGAGACAGAAAGAGACAGAGAAAATGAGAAATTACCCCCAGGGGGAATGGCCATGCCACAATCCCTTCTCCTCCATTCTCTTCTCAGGATTTTGGGCACACATGCACATGCACACGGCCTGAGTTTCAAGCTGCCAGGTCTGGGGCTGGAACTGTAGTCAGCCACGTGGGAATCCAGTGCCTTAACCACTATGCAACCTACTGGTCCTGAAAATAAAAAAATTCTTTTTTTTTTGAGAGTTTTTTTTTGCTATAGGGTGCATGCGCTCGCCAGACAGACAGAAAGAGACATAGAGACAGAAAGCGAGAAATCACCCCCCGGGGGGATGGTCACGCTGCAATCCCTTCTCCTCCATTCTCCTCTTGGGATCTTGGGCACACACGCACACGCGCCCAGCATGAGTTTTAAGCCACCCGGTCCGGGACGCGAACCGCGGTCGACTATGTGGGAGGTCCAGCGACATAGCCATTACTCTAACTGCTGGTTCCCGAAAATATAAAAATTATTAAAAAGAAAAAAGTAATCTTTATTTTTTTTTTCTGTCTATATTTAAGCCTTTGTCTTTGGTTTTCTATAGTTTCACTAGGATATGTTTAGGTGTGAATTTGATTTTAGTTGTTTTTATCTGTGCATCAGTCCTGGTAAAACCACAGCTACTATTCTTTTCAAATACTGTCTCGGCCATTCTCTTTCTCCTTTCTTTATGGAATTCCAATTACAGATAAATTCATCTCCTCCTTTAGTCCCCTGTCTTTTTTTTTTTGGGGGGGGAGAGTTTTTTTTTTTTTGTTTTGTTTTTTTTTTTTTTTTTTTAGGGCCCCGGTACCCCCCAGCAAACACA